CAAAGTAAAGGTGTTGGGCTATGCCCTTTGATGTAGAAATTTAACCCATGTAAGCATGTTCGATAAAGAAACGTGGTCAATTCAAGCAGAGTTATGCATGATATCTGTTCATGCAACCAAAACCAAACAAAATAAAGCACAGCAAAGCCAGCTGAGGTTATGATAGAGCTCCGGGTTGGCAGGTGTTGGCACTGTACCAAACTACATTGATCTCTCTTTCCAATAGGCAAGGACTATTTACAGGTGAGCACTGTGCTCTTACAATAGAGATGCAAATCCACACCTTCTGTTAACCATTAACCACTGTTCGCAGCAATATTTCAGACTATTCTGAATCAAAAAACAAGGGCAATGATTCGGTGCACTTACCTTTTGGGTTTGCTCTTTAGTTGTTCAAAACATGTAAGACAGAAACCTGAGGGATGGAATCAGCACTGAGTGGCCTTCACAAGATTGTTTCTTCTTCCTCTTCATGATTCCTTTAAGGAAAGATCTGACTCTGAATCTATTCATGAGGGAAAAGAAGCTCAAAGGAATTTGAAGATTTCTGAACTGCCATAGATTTACTTTTATGACAGATACGATGTTTAGGGTAGTTCTAGTGGCTCAAGCCTGTTGTGGTCCTGAGGAACAGTGAGTTGTTCATTCATTCTCACATGATAGAAGGGGCTGTTTGGCATCCTCATCCATCTATTTTCCAGCTCTTTCTGGTTATGATGACATAGGACTGTTTCTCTGAAGGAGACTGGTATAGAAGATGTGGTTCTTGATCTCTTAGGTCAGGGGATAAGACACAACATGACTGTCATTAACACACACACACCACAGCAAATCTTACTGAATTTCAAATGACACAACTTATCCCTGAGCATAGGAGATGTTCTTGGTTGTTTGTGATTTTCTTTACTTTGATAGTTAATTAAAGTTTGTTAAGTTGTTAAGAAGCCAGAAATATAAGGGGACAAGTTAAAGCACTGGTTTCTTCCACACCCATCACCCCTTGCATGCTTCCCCACAAGAGATGTTGCTGTAATCACAGATTTGATTAGTTCTCCCCAGCAAATGCGGCAGAAAATAGTGGACTATAATTGATTAATCAAATCAGGATAGGTACTAATCACCAATTCCTATTTTAATACCACTCCTTTTCCTCTGACAAGGTACATGCTGTCTCACTGGCTTGTTAAATAATAATTTTACATTTCAATGAGTAAAACATAGCAGTGTACATTGCAGTGAATACATGAGGTTTGTTATACATTGCTACATTTTTCCAATGCAGTTTCAATCAAATGAACTTTATCCAAATTTTAACAGGTTTTCTTACTTCTAGATTTTCTTCCTTCTGTATACCGACTCAATGTTGATTTTCTTGTATATTACTCTGCATTCTTTTAGCTGCAGTAATGGCTGGAAACCAACTTAGTGTGACTTGAGGTCTAGAGAAATATCTTGGCTCATATCACGGGGAAGCTCAAGTGTAGAACTGGAACTTAAGCCTCACATGGTATAATCAAGGCATTGACATTCTTCAGGTGGCAGCTTGGTTTTCCTTTGGGCCAAGTGTCATTCTCAGACAAGCTGTGCCATCATTGATGGGAACCAGAGCTTCAAACTGTTTCACAACATCAGGGGAACAAGAGACTCTTTCTAGCAAAATTCCAGGATTGACTTTCATTGCTCTAGCCAAGAAAGCTAATAACGGCTGTAACCAGGAATGGACTGTTCTGATTGGCCAGGCTGATGTGTTCATCAGCTGGGGTTAGATGGTGGTTAGGAGTTACCAACAAGGAAAATTAATACATAATTTCAAGAGAAAGATAGAATAGATACTCAGCAGAACATTGTAGCAAATGTCCACTTTCCTCCAGAGCTCCCTTGAGCCTGTGGGAGGAAGTGTGATATGGTGACAAGAATTACTCAAGATAAAGTGTGAGCTTTGGAATTCACAGCCCTGGATCCTATCAGTGGACTAGCTGTGTGACTTTAACAAGTCAGTTAACCTCTCTGACCCTATTTTCCTCATCTATAAACTAGAAATAAAGACTCAGAGGTTGGAAGAGGAGGAAAATGACAATGTCTGGCAAATACTACCACTTAGCAAAGAGCAACTAATTTAAAATGGAATGGTCTTGGTTATTTTTTAATTATAATATTGTACTCTGAGTTGTTACATATTGCCTCCCAGTGGGAAAGTCATAAACTCCCAAGCCTCTGTTTCCTCATGGGAAAAACTAACTCCTCAGTTGACTCAACAGAGTTTTATGACAAGAATACAGTATGCCTCTCGCTTTTCTAGGCACTAAGGACATAACAGTGATCAAGACAATGTTCTGCACTTTCTTGAAGCATGTGTGTTAGTGAGGGAGACAGGTGAAAAATAACAAAGCAGTTGATTAGACAAAATGTATGTTCTAGGATGAAATATTAGAACAAATGAAGAGAATGGAAAGATTTAGAAATGGGGGTCTGAGATTTCACTTGGTGGTGAAGAGAATGCCTTTCTCAGGAAGTGATAGCTGAACAGCATCCATAAAGAAGTGAGAGAGGGATCTTTGAGTAGCATTCCAGGAAGAGGAGACAGGTGAAAAGGTCCTGAGATAAGAGTCTGCTTGGTGGTCAAGGAAAGCAGCAACACCAGTGAGCTGGTGGGTAGTGAGGAGAGGAACATGACTGAGGCTCAGTTTGCAGAGGAGTTGGCCCAGATCTTGGGGGCTGGTGGGTTAGAATGAGAAGTTTGGAGTGTGCAGAAGGCCACCGGAACCTTATGCTGAGAAGAAATGGTCTGACATCTTTTTAAAATACCAGTCTGGCTACTGAGGGGTGAAGGGATGATAGTGGGCAAGCAGGAGACCTGTGAGGAGATGTGGCAGTATCCCAGGTACAAAAGATGGTGGCATGGACCAAGGTGTGTGGTTCTGGAGATGATGAGAAAGGTGGAATTAAGGAATCATTTTCAAGTGAGAGAGAATGTCCATGCTGATGGTTTGGTAGAAGGCCTTGAGGAAAAGATGTGTTTTCGTCCAAGTAACTAGATAAATGTAATAAATGGGAGCCATTGAGTCTTCAATGAATAGAGCTTATTCCAAACCACGGATGTGATCACCTCAGGAATGATTTTAGAGAAGGAAAGAACCCGTATCACTTCAAGTCAGACCTTTGTACTTGTGTATTTCAAATAAAATGTTATTCTTAATTCAGAACACAAGATAGAAGTTATTTAGTCAGAATTTTTGCTACCATGACTAAAAGATATGACAAAGAACAATTAGAGGAGGAAAAGTTTATTTTGGTGCTCAGTTTCATAGGTCTCAATCTATAGATGGTGGGCTCCATTCTTCAGGACCCTAGGTGAGGCAGGACATCATGGTGGAAGAGTTTATGAAGGAAAGCAGCTCAAGACATCACACCAGGAAATAGGGGTGGGGGTGGACTAGGGGTGGGGTGGAGGGAGCACAAGAGAGCTCCCCTCACAGAAAAAAATACAAACCCAAGGGTGTGTCCTGACCCACCTCCTCCAGACACACCCTAGAGTTACCACTCAGCTAATCCCTATCAGGGGATTAATTCACTGATTAGATTAAGGCTCTCATAATGAAATCACTTCACCTCTAATCCTTGTATTTTCTCACACATGAGTTTCGGGGACACCTCACATGTAAACCATAGCAGAAGTGGACATCAGTACTTTGTCTGAGTGGGGTGCCCGGAGTCCTAAAGGCTGAGCCTTTAACTCACCTGCCACAACTGCAGAAATGCCCAAAGGAGCTCATTTTAGTCTTAGAGACTCTTAAAAACAAACACTGAAAAACATGGAGCATCCCCTGTGTCCTTTCCAGCTCTATTACTTGGCTTTTTTCTTCCTGGCTGCTGACATCAAGGGTTTGGTCCTCCCTGGCCAAGGGATCTAATGGCTCAGGCTGAGGTTCATGGTTCTTTTATGTGGTAGATAAACAGATTTTGAGTTTCTTCTTGGTAATACTCAATTAGCAAACAAGTTGATAGAATTATAGCATATCAGAGCTGCAAGTAAACCCAGAGATTATCTCTTTCAATCTCTTCCATTTACTGGGAGGTGCAAGATGATGCTCAGAAGGAAAAAAGGACCTGTTCAGGGTGACCCTGGAACACACAGCTGGGCTCTGCCTCTGCATTCTCTACATTCATAGAATGTCATAGAACAAATGCGATAGAAGTTGTAACAATTCTTTTGGAAACAAAAACAATACAAAACAACCCCCCCCCCATAGTTCCTTAAGAGCACTCATTTTGTTGAGATTAGTGAGTGCTCACATAGTAAGGGGTGTAAGATTTCCTGAAGGTCTATGCCACAGGAAGTTTCAGTAATTTGAAAGTTAATTTTCCTCTAACTGGGATTTCTTGGTCTGTGTTTCCTGGATTCCTGGGTTCAGGAAACATGGGCTCCCTCTTCAGGGTGTATGTATGTGCATGCATGCATGTTGTTTTTCTGGGCAGAGAGTTCTCAGTAGTTTATTAAATTATCAAATAAATCCGTAATGACCTACCCTCAGAAAAAGAGCTATTTTTAAAAACAAACCCGAAAATCCTCACAGGAAACAAACTAACTGTAGTACATTTTAGGCAATAGTACATTTTAGGCAATGTACTATCTTAATCGTGATAATGTAGTTACCTACCTTCACTAGCCAGTGTCCTTATGCAGATCATGGAAATAAGCTATGGTTCTAGAAAGAACAAAAAATAACAAATACAATAACCCAAGGTAAAAATAAGTGCCCTTAAGTTTTAATCAGCAGGAGATCAGAACAATATGAATAAACTGTTTGCAACACTCAGCTGTACTATACCTCAAGATGCCAACAGTTCTTTGTTATAGTACTATTTATTAAATATATCTATGAAGCAAAAATCTTAATAAATAGGAAGCAATGTTTTTTTTTTGGCATTTTTCCTTTATCAAAGACTTTCATTTTCCTCTGTTGCTTTCTCATTTAATGTCTTTTTATTCCCCATTTCAGGACCCTGTGGGCACTGAAATCCAGCTCACTCATGCTTATTTCCTGTAATGGACAAACTTGATGCTAATGTGAGGTATGTTACATTTCTATATATATTGTGCTGTAAATTGTGGACTTTTGTTCAAGAAAGTCTCTGAAAAAATCTGTTTCACTAGAGTTAAAAGCTAATGGAAGTAGATTTTCTTTGATGTTTTATACATAACCATAAGTATGGTGCTGATTGATTATTAGTGTTTTACTGCATAAATGGTAAGTGTAACATGACTGTAAATGTTTTTAACTGCTTGTACTAAAAGTCTGCATATAGAGGTGCCATCTGAAAATAGATATTCATTTCTGTAAGAGGAAGAACAATGTATTTAATTTGGGGAAAGAATATCTACCTGTGCATTTAAATTTTAGATATTCACTATATGTTCTAGTATGTCCACTTCTTTTTTCAAGCAAAGCATGAGTTTAGGTGATATGGTTATGTGACATCAGTTGGTTTCATGGTATAGTTACATAAAACTAAATGAATTTTGTTTCATTTTTTTTTCCTGTGATTTCCTTCAAACCTTGGAGATGAAATAATAGGGTAATTCTCAGGGAAGTATCTCATAAAGATTTGCTCCATTTTATTTGGCATAACCAAATAGTGCAAAGAAAATTGTTTTCAGTAAGGCTTAAATGGCATGTCTTTTATAGGACTTTAGGCTGAAGATTATCTCTAGAAATCAGTAGCTGGAAGACATCCTAAAAAACACATTCCTTGTGAAATTCACAGAAGCCATTATATTTCACTTGAGACTTTTGGGAAAGTATGTTTCAGGTATAAACCAGGAGCCCTGTGCCTCTGGTGTAATGTAGTAGAAAGCTGTGACAAAAGGGAGCTGTCAAATATCTTGATAGAAACGCTAGTGTAATATGACTTGTGTTGGAAAGATGTACTACCACCCTACTAGGGAATTACCTGAGGGTGGAATGTGTCTCACGATGCTGTGTATAATCCCTGGCACATGGTGTGTATTTCATAAAGAGATGTTGATCAGCTCATCATTGATGTACTACTATACATTTCAAATAGGGTTGTGTTCTAGCACACCCACATATTTTTTTTTTAAACTGTACATTTAGCATTACAACATTTTAAATTCTTCAAGAGAAAGCATTGTGGATTTCTTTATTTACCCAATATCCTAACTTGGTGCAGAGTTTTAGAACCTTAAAATAGACTTTTAAGCAAGTAGCATGTGTTTATTTTTTCTCTCAAAATTTGTGAAATGATTTGCACAGAGAAAAGCATGGTGGAATCCAGAGAATCTCAATTTTACTTTTTTTAATTCAAAGGCCATGATGAACGGTATCAATGGTAATATGTTATTAAATTGTTTTAAGTTCCAGACACTGTATCATACTGGATTAGTTGATTAAAAAGTACTTTTGAGGGGAATAATTCAGATATTACAATCCCTTACATTGCTAGCTTCTAAACATTTATTTATTATAACACTAGATTCTAATGGTAGACTACAATTTGATTAAATGAGCCTTTCTCTTGGGATACTGGAATAATAGCGTGGGATACATGATGATATCACACCCCAGAATCTTGTCTCTGGACCATCGTCTCTGTCAGTTTTTTGACTGGATCTTGTCAGCATATGTTCATCTTCAACCACTCCTCCTCTCTACCCACAATATTACTAACAGGCAAATGTCACAGGCACTCCACTCATTTCCTCTTCAGAACAAACCTTGAGTGTCCATGGAGAAGGATGTGGTGGCTCACATTTACCAGATTGTGGTGCACGTATCATTAGAAACACACAGTGAGATTCAGTGGTACACCCATTACATTTTTATTTCAAAATTAAACACTTTTTTATCATGGAGAAAAATTCTATTTTATGATGTATAGGAGTAAAATAAAATTCTCTTTTAATGTACATTTATTTAAATTTTAAGTCAGTTTATTTTAAAAATGTGATTTAAAAATATTTGTTAATAAATGAATGTGGAAAAATCATAATGGCTCTAGGCAAATGACTTATCTAGAAGCTGATGTTGTAGGCTAAACTAGATAGAGTAAATTTCATCATTTCAAGAGCATGAAAAATGCCTATGCAATAAAGTGAGAGTTGAAAGGCCCAGTTCCCCAGCACAGGAGAGGAGTCCTAATCCTTGCTCTGAAGACAGAGGAAACTAAATGAACAAAGGAGGGAGAAGTTTGGAGGAGAAGGAAAATTCAGAGGAGAGTCTGGGCTGTGCTTGGCAAGGGGCAAAACAATCAATGGCATAGTGAATATAAGGGACTTGAAGAGTTAGAGAATATATATATATATATATATATATATATATATATATATATATGAATGTGTACACGCCTCTCCCAGAACCCAGTCCTTCAGCAAAATTTTCCATCCTGACGGTGAATTGGGTGTTACATGTTTACCATGCTGAATGTTCAAGGGCATTGTGAGCTATAAAGTTGACTTATATTATCCCATTTGATTTTTAAAACACTCTTGTGAAGCACATAGCATTATTATATTGCCACAGTGTGCGGCAACCCAGACAGGCTCTAAAACAGGGACACTCCAATTTTTCTCAGGTATCAAGGGGTCAAGAAGTCCTGGTGGACATTTAGATCTAAAGAAAATGTCTTTCTTTTATGAATTGTGTCAGGCCATACTGACCAGTCCATTTTTTTGTTTTGTTTTGTTTTGGGGCTTAATTTAATTGAGTTTGCTTATTCAGCTAGATCCTTGCTATTGTGTCTCTGTCAGCTTCATGATAGAAGCATCAGAAACTGACTCTAGCATAATCAAAGTTAAGTATGAGAAGGGGAACCACCATGTACCGGCTCAGATGATTAAGGTGAACAATGTTGGAGGACCATGTTTAGAAATAAACAAGGACTGAATGTTTTCTCTGATGAGCAGATGCTGATCCATTGTGGGGTGGGAGGATAGGAAAGAATGAAGGAACTTTGGTTTGTGTAGAGGAGAGTGAGGGGAGGGGTGGGGTTGTGGGGATGGGAAGGATGGTGGAAAGAGACAGATATTATTACCCTAGGTACATGATTACACTGCAGGAGTAACTCTGAACCATGTACAGCCAGAGGACTGAGAAATTGTGCTGCATTTGTGTACTATATGTCAAAATGTGTTCTACTATAAAATGAATAAATTAATTAATTAAAAAAGAAAGAAAGAAACAAGGACTTTGGGAGTTCCTGGAGACCTACGAAGCAGAGTAGTGGCCAAGTTCAGGAAGAAGCAGTCAGTCAGATAAACACTTTTATCATTTATTTAAAATGTATTCATTAAATACTGAAAGATGTGCCAAGACTAGTCATATAAGTTTCTGCTCTTCAGATTCTCACATCTAGCTAGAAGACAATCACCCAAGTAGAGATCTAATTCAATGATGGAAGCGCCTCCCTAGTGAGATGTGCAATGAGCTGTGTTTTTTGAGAACTAAGAGTAACAAAAAGAAATACTTGGTTTTAGAAATAAAAGACAATATAAGTATTTTCCTCCTGAGGGCCTCCATTGTAGGAGAGCCTGGATATCTGATGGCCTGACTCAGGATGAACATGAGTCAGGCCCTAGCTGGAGAGGTAAGTTCCTGACCAGTCCCATTCTTTGATAAATAGTGTCTCACAAGCTTAGCAGTTAGTAAGCAACTCTTAGACAATCTGACTCCCACCTGATCATTTTATCAGTCTGTTTGCTCCTTGCTGGGGCTTCAGAGGAGACAGCTGCATTTCTTTTTGAAAGGTTGAAGAAAGGAAAAGGGAAACCATGGCTCTGGTGATTTCTGCAGTTACTACTTTTTGTAGAACTCTTTATTGGCTTGAACTTGGGGAATAAGCTTGCTGGTGTCTCTCCCGTCCCCTATGCTATCCCTAAGCCTGCAAAGCCACTTTGTATCATAGCTCTAAAATCTTTCCTAACCTCAGAGATAGTTCACACTCTCTGTTTGTTTAGTTACCAGACTCTTCCACTGACATGTGATCCCAAAAGCATTCCAGGTTCTGTCCTTTTCTTCTTACCATTTATTATAACTATTTTCTAAGATTTTTTTTTAAATAGGGAGCCTACATCCTGGGAACAAATTTTTACTCCTCACACTTCAGATAGAGCCCTAATATCCAGAGTATACAAAGAACTCAAAAAAATAAACAATAAGATAACAAATAACCCAATCAACAAATGGGCCAAGGACCTGAACAGACAGTTCTCAGAGGAGGACATACAATCAATCAACAAGTACATGAAAAAATGCTCACCATCTCTAGCAGTCAGAGAAATGCAAATCAAAACCACCCTAAGATACCATCTCACTCCAGTAAGATGGGCAGCCATTATGAAGTCAAACAACAACAAGTGCTGGCGAGGATGTGGGGAAAAGGGTACACTTGTACATTGCTGGTGGGACTGCAAATTGGTGCGGCCAATTTGGAAAGCAGTATGGAGATTCCTTGGAAAGCTGGGAATGGAACCACCATTTGACCCAGCTATTCCCCTTCTTGGACTATTCCCTAAAGACCTTAAAAGAGCGTACTATAGGGATACTGCTACAACGATGTTCATAGCAGCACAATTCACAATAGTTAGACTGTGGAACCAACCTAGATGCCCTTCAATAGGTGAATGGATAAAAAAAAAACGTGGCATTTATACACAATGGAGTACTACTCAGCACTAAAAAATGACAAAATCATGGCATTTGCAGGGAAATGGATGGCACTAGAGCAGATTATGCTAAGTGAAGCTAGCCAATCCCTAAAAAACAAATGCCAAATGTCATCTTTGATATAAGGAGAGCAACTAAGAACAGAGCAGGGAGGAAGAGCATGGGAAGAAGATCACCATTAAACAGGGACGAGAGATGGGAGGAAAAGGGAGAGAGAAGGGAAATTGCATGGTAAAGGAAGGAGACCCTCATTGTTATACAAAATTACATATAAGAGGAAGTGAGGGGAAAAGGAAAAAAAATCAAGAGAGAGAAATGAATTACAGTAGATGGGGTAGAGAGAGAAGATGGGAGGGGAGGGGAGGGGAGGGGGGATAGTAGAGGATAGGA